GATATGTACCAAGTGTTCGTGAAGACATTGTAAATAGGATTAAATGTGCATTAAAAAATACACGGCTGTGGTTATGTGTTGACGAGACGACAGATTGTAAGAAGAATTCTATTTTAAATGTTATAGTACGTGTACTCGACCCTGTTAATCCAACATTTCCACTTTTACTAGTTAGCAAAAGACTTACTGCGTATACTGGCGAAACAATTACGCGGGTGGTGTTGGAGACTTTCGAAAAATTTGAACTGTCAACAAGTCAAGTGTTGATGTTTGTGACCGAAGGTGCTGCGACAATGCGTTTGGTGGGCCGTTTTCTTCAAAGAGACGATTGTAGGTTTTTACATGTTACGTGTAAAGTGCATGCGTTCCATCTTGTAGCAGAAACGATTCGAAACTGTTTTCCAGAGGTAGATGCATTAATAGCAAATACAAAAAAAGTATTTCTCAAATCCCCTAAACGACTTCGAGCATTTCACACACTGTGTCCTGGTATTCCTGAACCACCAGAGCCGATTCTTACACGTTGGGGAACGTGGTTGAAGGCAGTTTTTTATTATGCTGAATATTTTCAACAAATAAAAGCTGTGGTACTACAGTTCAAACCTAACGAGGCTGCAGCTATTAAGGAAAGCCAGACAAGTTTTCAAGGTATTTCCCTTGAAACAGATTTAAAAACCATTTATAACAATTATAGAGGACTACACGACGCAATAGAAAAATGGCAAAATACTTCGTTGTCGTTAGTGGAATCGCTGCAAATAGTGGACAACGTAAATACACAGCTACAGACTATAAATGACGCAAAAAATAAGCCCGTTATTGAAAAATTCGTGAGTGTATTACGGAAAGATCCTGATTTTACCAAATTAAGACAAATTTGTGATGGCGCATCTACAGCTGCGTTAAGTGAGTTCACAGAGTGTTTTACTTATGCCTGTATTACTTCCGTAGATGTCAAACGGTCTTTTTCAAAATACAAACATATTTTTTCACCACAGCGAACATCGCTTACTGAGATAACTGTAGAAACATATCTGATGCTACACAGTTATTATAGAAGTGCTCCAGTTTGTGATAACAACAACCAAGCTACTTCATAAATCTGCTTAAGGTGAGTTTTGTACATATTTTTATAAAGTGTACCAATATTAATAAAATTTATTTCCATTTATTTTATTTATTTATTTATTTATTTATTATTAGTTATCACCTAGATATACAATGTACATGTGTGAACGTCATTTAACAGTTAAATAATAATGTGCAGCACTAAGCTTACAAAATATAAGGAAACACATAAAAAAGAATTTAAAGCGAACGAAATAGTACAAAAACATACATCACAATTTATAAAATATTTTTGTTTTTATTATTGTACTTATTCAAGTATTATGATATGATGCATACCCAGTACGTCTCTGTAGGATTAATGACCTTGGCCAGGCTTAATCATTATACGTACAACCACCCTTTCACAGAATTCAACATTTTCAATAAAAATTTGCAATTCGATTGCCAATAAATCAATTATAACTTTATTTATTTTGTATATTAGAACACAAACATAAAATAGGGATAAACATGCAGTGTACGACGAATAATTACTGTATTTACATTAACATTAGACACAGTACTATAAACAAATGAACAGCGTGAGTCATCCCCCTAAATATAAAAATTTAATGAGGATACCAAGGCTAAGAAATTAGAATCAGATGTCATTTGAATGTAAAAATAATTTCCACGTCTAATTCCACCAGCAGAAGCAAAATGATTTCCGAAAATATCATTTTTGTTATGTTTTTCATACGGTGGTGGTCAAGTTTTACGATATTCGGTGTGAATACCAATTTATCGGTTATTCTAATAAATAGAAACAATATTTGAGGACTTGAGTATTTATTTTAATTGAATATCAGAATATTCAATTACACATAATTTTAGGGAACAAATAACTTGTCTAATTATAATTTGTATTAAAAAACTTGCCTCTCATGAGTTAACAGAATATTCGAGGGAATACTTATTTACCTGAACATTTTATTGAAAAATATTTTCAGTCAAATATCTCCACGGCATACTCACTGAGTACGATATTTTCAGCACGTTTTGATTATTGCATTAATCTTCCATTTTGTTAGCATCACTTCTGGTGAAGGTATCTGTGCGAGGGATGCGAGGGTCGGACCTACCGAATGGCTGAGTTGACAGCTTGAGGGAAGCTGACGCGAGAGTCCCGTGCCCGAGGCATTCATGGGTTAGCGGCTGAATTACTTAGTACGATACTTACTACTGATCCGTTGTACCTGGTGGCCCAATAAATTGTTGTGCGAAACTAATTTTTTATTTCTTAAATTTCATTTATTTAATTAATTTAACATCAGAAGTGGGATAAAGGACCTAACTATTTAGTGATTTAGTGAATAAGTGAAAAAAAATGCCACGAGAAAATGAAGCTGGGTTGCAATGCCGATCAAGGATTGAGATGCGGCGAACACTAAGTCGAAGTCCGGTTTGGAGAACTACTAGAAGGGAGGCGGCTGCTGAATACCGAAGTTATCAAAGGGAGGCTCGTCAAAGACGAAGAGATCATCAGAGGGAGACTTCTGGTAGTAGAGATCATCAGAAGGAAGCGTCTAATAAGCGACCGAGGGGGGGGGTTTTACCTCTCAACGATTTGAAGCGTTTTGTAAAAAGGTTGGCGCGACTCATTACCTGAATGCTGTTGGGTTGCCACGCGGAAATGGTCAAGTCGAAAGATACAATCGTATCATGTTAGACAGTTTGGCCGCCAGGGGAGCAGATGTGGAATATGACGAGTGGGATGATAATATTGCAAACGTCCAACTGGGGTTGAATAGTACATTCAATCAAGCTCTGGGTGCATCTCCAAGTGAAGTGCTAATGGGATATCGTGTGCGAATGAATTCCCTAGAACCACGTAGCACCCAGGGATTTATTGACGTTACTACCATACGCCAAACGGCTTATGATAATATAACAAAGAGCCAACAGAAGCAAAAAGAATATTTTGACGCAAAGCGCTGTAACCCTCGAACTTATCAAATTGGATATTTGGTGTTGCTTATGATCACTTTCATTCCTAGCACTGGAAGAAGTAAAAGACTAGCTCCGAAATGGAGAGGACCCTTCAGGGTGTCACGGGTCATAGGCAACGACTCGTGCGAGGTATCAGGGGACCGCAGGGGTTGAGAACATGAAACCCTGGATACATTTTATGCATGACGAATAAGAAGGGTAACGTATACTAAGGGAGGTTCTATCAATGAAGGAATCTAAATTAGGACTTGTAGCTTGTGTCATATTAGACTGTAGCTTGTAGTCAGGACTTGTAGCTTGTGTCGGTGCTGGTCTGTAGCGTGTGCCCCGGAATTTATAGCTTGTGGCCTCACTAGACTGTAGCTTGTAGTCTGAACTTGTAGTTTGTGTTCTTCGGAACTGTAACTTGTAGTTCTATCTTTCGATCACACGCCGAATTGATAGACATCTCCTCAATAATCCATTTTATTAGTTAAGCGAATTTAAAAAAATAAATAAATAGGAGTAGGAGATTTTGGAATTCAGGGACGCCTGTATTTCACGATCAGAAAATAATCATAACAATTGATCACTAACTAACTAGTTGAATTTATTTAGATGCTGCTCTGGGTCTAGGTCACACCTGCAAGTGAGGTCATGGATAGGGTAAGGCAGGGGTACGTTTTCCCTGCTACTACTGAAGTGAAAGAACAATTAACGTAGGTAGCGTGGTAAGAAATTACAGGTGTAGAAAATTTCAAGAGGAGAGGCTACTGAAGGGTTCTCTTACTTCCAGAGTAGGTAGCGGTACCGGACTGAACGTATTTCCTGAGGTCACTATTGGTACAGAGCTAGCAGGGTACTAGGTGACCATTAGGCTAAGTTAATCATTAGGTTAAGTTGCACCTAAGTTAGTTCAAAATTGGTTATTATTTTAAGGTTATTTTATTATGTTTAATTATAATTATTAGTAAACTTGGCCAAGTTCATTATTAAATTACAGGATAGGTTAGCCTGTGGGTCACCGCTTTGAACAATGAAAATGCAGAACATAGATTACACGTACTCTTTCATTTTTTTAAATTTTTGTTGCGATTTGTCAAAGACATCTCGATGTTCTAAAGCAAACAATTCGAGTTTCAGTTCCTCTGTACTTGACGAGTGAGGACACTCCTTGATCTGGAAAGGCCGAATGTTAGCATCACTTCCGGTGAAGGTCTCTGTGCGCGGGATGCGAGGGTCGGACCTACCGAATGGCTGAGTTGACAGCTTGAGGGAAGCTGAAGCGAGAGTCCCGTGCCCGAGGCATTCATGGGTTAGCGGCTGAATTACTTAGTACGATACTTACCTGATCCGTTGTACCTGGTGACCCAATAAATTGTTGTGCGAAACTAATTTTTTATTTCTTAAATTTCATTTATTTAATTAATATAACATCAGAAGTGGGATAAAGGACCTAAGCAAACAATTCGAGTTTCAGTTCTTCTGGACTTGACGAGTGAGGACACTCTTTGGTCAGGAAAGGCCGAATGTTAGCATCACTTCCGGTGAAGGTCTCTGTGCGCGGGATGCGAGGGTCGGACCTACCGAATGGCTGAGTTGACAGCTTGAGGGAAGCTGAAGCGGGAGCCCCGTGCCCGAGGCATTCATGGGTTAGCGGCTGAATTACTTAGTACGATACTTACTACTGATCCGTTGTACCTGGTGGCCCAATAAATTATTGTGCGAAACTAATTTTTCATTTCTTAAATTTCATTTATTTAATTAATTTAACAATTTATTTATCCATAATTTAAAGAGGGCTATTAGATGCTTGACCCAGGATAGGAGTCCGTCTCTTTGTAGCGACAAAGAGTCGACCTCCTTTTCACTCAGATCGTGGATTCAATAGTTGAGGGGATAGACTCATAGATGTAAGTTATAATTATTAATGATTATGGCGTTGAATAATCATGGATTCGGAGTCAAGCGATAAGGACACTTGGCTTTCACCCCAGAGTTAGTCCCAGGTTCGATCCCTGGTCAAGGAGTTGACATTTTTTCTAAAGCAGAAATTAATCCTAGCTTACTCGGATATTGGGTGTGTGTTCATTGTCTCTAAATATGTACAAGATACCTCGAGGTACCTTTGGTGATACAGGGGGTTATATTATCTATGGTGGTAAAAAAAAAACTTTCAATAATATATTTTATCATATTGCATTAAAAAGGTTATTTCTTTTGAGATATTTTTTAATTTTTTTTTAAATTACACAAACCCATATTAGATATTAGAAGTTAACTCTGCTTATGTGATAAAAATATACTAGTTAATGACCAAAATCCCGTGAATTCTTAGATATACAATAGAGCTGTAAATGCGAAAATAATACATTTATAGAGATTTAATATATTACCTTGTAAATTTTATAGGGACTGGTACATAAAAACTCGGCGTTTTACGATTTCTTAAATAAATTTTATGTCATTTTTCAATAAACTTTTTATTATGAATTATCACGCTACTGTCATACATCTAAAAATACTGAATAATTAATCTTCCATTACAAATTGTCTATGTATTTTAAAGTTTTAATATTAATATATTACATATTTTATTACTACTGTGCAAGTAAGTGGTGTAAGCATTTAATTAGAAATTCTTGGGTATATTTGTACAATTAATACAACAAGTGTAAATAATTATAATTCTGAGGACAAACAAATGTGCTGTGACATATGATATAAAAATTAACGCAATTATTGCAAAATTCAGTTCTTACGGCATTAACAAATTAACAGTTCTTATAATCAGAGGTCATTTAATTATTTTCACAAAAAACTCAGTTTAGGAAAGAGTATAATGATAATGTATTAGATAGAGTTTGTATAAATTTATTATTTTTTTACTCAGTTGGTAATTTCCCCTTGAAACCATTTCGTAACTACGGACTTGGCATTTACATTTATCGTGGTCATTATATATTTCAGGCAGATTTCAAGAATATGGAAAAAAATAGGAGACAATTTATAACAATTCGTTTAACATAAATGTTGATGACAGTGATATAACAGTACAGTCAGAGCACATGGCTATTTTAAAGTAATTGGTCATCACAAGTTTTGAAAACAAATTTTCATTCGCAATTAAAAATAAATTTGACAGATATGTGAATACACATTATAAATAGGTACTACAATATCTCAGATCGCTCAAGAAATATCTGGATTTACCGTAAAATGCGCAAACTGATAACTAGGGCTGTCAAAAATGTTCCGTGGGACAGTGGCGTACGTGAAATTAACTAACACGAGAAACAATAAACTGTTACAATTTATAACAATGTATGTAAAACTTACCCTCTTAACTAGCTTGATAAACTAGCTAGCTTATCACAAACTGGAGAAGATGTGTAACCATTTTGCAGCATCAGGTTTGTTTCTATGGTTGTCTCCATGAGTGATGTTCGCTTTGTTAAAAATATATTCTTATATTTTGAAAACGACCGTTCGACATCTACTGATGTGTAATACACGCATACGTAAAATAGTCTTTGAACGCACTTAACGGATCTGGGGCTGCACCATCACATATTTGTTTTAATTTGGTAAAACCGGTGTCTTTATTTAACACACTTGCGAACTTTTCTTTAACGCGCTCATTTGTTTCGCAACCTATAGCGTGTAGCAGTAGATTTACTTTGTCCACTATATGCTTTCTTCTCATGGTTTATAGTTCTTCGCAATATTTTTTTAAACTGTTTCAACGGAAATATCCTCGAATTTTGTCTGGCTTTCCTTAATAGCTGCAGCCTCATCTGGATTGAATTGTAGTATCACAGCCTTTATTTGTTGGAAATATTCAGCATAATAAAAAGCTGCCTGCCACCATGTTCCCCAACGTGTAAGAATCGACTGTGGTGGTTCAAGAATACCGGGACACTTGCTATGAAATACACGAAGACGTTTAGGAGATTTAAGAAACACTTTTTTTTGTACTTGCTATTAATGCATCCACCTCTGGAAAACCTTTTCGAGTAGTTTCTGCCACAAGATGTAAAGCATGCACTTTACACGTAACATGTATAAACCTACAACCTTGTTCTTGCAAAGAACGGCCTACCGAACGCATTGTCACGGCGCCATCAGTCACAAACATCAACACTCGACTTTTTGACAGTTCAAATTTTTCTAACGTCTCCAGCACCACCCTGGTAATTGTTTCGCTAGTACACTGACTTAGTCTTTTGCTAGCTAGTAACAGTGAAACTGTCGGTTTAAGAGGGTCCAGTACTCGTACTAAACATTTAAAATAGAATTTTTTTTACAATCTATTGTCTTATAAACAGATAACCACAGCCGTGTATTTTTTAAATCACATTTCATTTTATTTACCATGTCTACGTGTATAGTTGGTAAATAGTTACATAACGTTGTGCGACTTGGCAACTTCACCTGGGCATTGTATTTATTCCAGAACCCTCGAAATGGTTGTTTATCGAGTATGTGCAGCGGAACATCACAGGCAATCAGCATTAATAGTAAATCAAACATAAACTGTGTTGTCGAAGGCACGCCATTTTTTTTTATTTTTATGGTGTACACTATTTACGTGAAGTCCACAATCACGCTTATCCCAGCACATCAAATCTTTCTCGAACACTTTACAAATTACTTTAGCACCATCATAAAATAAATCCGGGAATTCACCTATGAATTTATTCACTTTGTCAGTAAATGGCCGTTTTCTATCCCTGCGTATGTCTGCCATGCTTTATTATTAAATTAATATCAACAATACAGTACAACAAATAAAATAAAAACACAAAAACACTATGCAATCCGCCCAAGTGTACACAACTCGAAAGCTAATAATATACTGGACTGGAGAAAACGTTTCGCGGTCAAGGTGAATGCCGGCAACAGTAAGTACATCTGTACTCTACGACCATGATACACAGAAATGATCTACAGCTTTACTGATAACGATACAATCGAAAAAATTATCCTCTAAGATAGCCATGGAAATAAATCGTGTGTCTCTTATTGAATACTAGGGCATTTGTTGTTTAAATTATCACTAATTTAGACTGAATTGTCACTAATTTAAATTATTTTTTGAACTTTCAATCAAAAGCCCCGTTGAATTTCCATGGTTAACTAAAGGGTAAATTTTTTCGATCGCCCTTTACGAAGACTTTAATCCTAACTTCATATTTGGATTCTAGAGTGTGGTGGAGCTATGCGCTGTGGTGTTTTTGAAACTTTGTATCAACAGCAATATTTAGATCAATCATTTACACTTTTTACATTATGAATATTAAACAGGTGCAGTTTTGGTGGCGTTTTACTACCTAGGAAACCTTTGCATGTATCAAGGTATGTATACAAAGTTCATTCTCCTGACTCCCTGCATATACTGAACTACATACCCTAACATTAAGACCAGAAAAGTATTTTAGAGGAAGATTTACAGCGAGTAACCGAAGGAGGCTTGTTGACAAAAGTAAAATAAAAAAACCGTTCAGCACTATAAACAAACTAAAAAATTAGAAACAATAGTCAAGCTGAAATAAGATAAAATACGAGTTTCCTACACTTCCCACAAAACAATCGACAATTTTCATATATTTTCATAATATTATAGAAAACAATTCGAAAAAAAAGGTAAGTACGCCCATGGATTGGGTGTCATACAATGATTTATTACTATTTCTCAATAAGGAACGGATTATAGTACTTAATAATCTTTGAGTTACTATTTTTGGCATATCCTATTAAAATATCATTACAAGTAATGAAACAAAAGCCTATTTGGATTTGGATGCAATTTCCTTACCTACTACCAACTTAATAAAATATGTATAGCATTTTTATTTTGCACGTGCTAAATATAAGGACGTACTAGAATAATTATATTTGTAAAAGATCTAAGTAATAAGTTATTAACTTAAGATTTAATTTATTTTCCTATAATTTATTCTACAGTTCATTTACGTCATTTGAATTTTCCGATAATAATTTATGAGTGCAATTGCCAATTATTCACACAAAATCAATTCGACTTGTAAAAATATATATAGGTAGGTAGGTACCAAATATTATAATCATACGATTATATTAAGTGCCAAATTTTAGCTTTTGAATAAATATTGACACACCCGGAAAATTTACGATAACCTGTTTACTGTATACACACAAAAAGTATATTTAAAACGAGTAAATGTTACAATCCAAAAAACCAGTAATTCGTATACAGGGCGGTCCAGTTTTCAAGCCAGAAACCTCATGTGTATATAAAATAACTGGAGTTTCTTTTATATGGATGTGTATGGAGCACCGTTTAATACATAATTATATATATATTTACTGAAATATACATTTTTCATCGTTAAATATATGTAAATAGTTTAAAATATTTATAAACATTTGCAAATACATATAACATCTTTATTCCATTACCAAGATATCTAAAAAGTGTAAATTATAATATTTAAAAAATTATTAATTATTATAATACTTACAAACGTGATTATTAGAATAAAAATGGTTATGGCAGAAAAACTTTTTGAATAAAATGTGTATATTAGGAATAGAAGATGAAAATAGTTCAATTTAGACAATTAAAAAAATAGTAACAAAGCTGTTACCAAGGATGTTAAAAAAGTTCATAAAAATATATCAAAGCAACCATAAACAACTAGTAAAATTTTGTTAAATAAATTAAAATTATGATAGTCTTTTCAGATCATTATTAACTTTCAAAATGTAGGTATAAATTTTATCAAGATTACTAAGATCAGTTATTTAGGTTCATTATAGTATACCTATATTGTTTTTAAAATTTTCTTCATTGCCAACAGTACAAAATATAAAACCTTGCCGCCAATATGTCAGTTTTTAATGTTTTCAATCTGTAATTCTTATTTGTTGACCCTAGTATAAAAAACCATTATTTATTGACGTATTGCTTGATAAACTGTGTTTAAAATTTTCCATTAAAATGTATATAATTTATCATATCGTTTCGATTGTCTGATTTATTT